GGGTTTTGAAGGGAAAGGGTGGGAGGGTCGTTGGGGGTTGTGAAGGGAAAGGGTGGGGTCTGTTGGAGTGGTTGTGAAGGGAAGGGTGGGGGGATCTGTTGGGGTGTTTGAAGGAAGGGGGTTGAGATGGGAGGGCTTGGGTTGATGGTAGAGAGTAAGGGGGGGAGGTAGTTTCAATGATGGATGTTGGGTGGCATCTGCACTGTGTGCAACATTCACCCCACAAAGTATAAATGTCAGTATCAATGTTGAATGTGGTAATCTAGTCTCTCATCAATTTTCATTTGTACGACACATGAACCTTCCCTCCCGCTTGGGACGCCTCCCTCCTGCCTTGGTACTGCCTCCCTCCTGCCTTGGTACTGCCTCCCTCCTGCCTTGGTACTGCCTCCCTCCTGCCTTGGTACTGCCTCCCTCCTGCCTTGGTAATGCCTCCCTCGTGCCTTGGACGCCCCCCTCCTGCCTTGGTACGCCCCCCTCCTGCCTTGGTACGCCCCCTTTGCCTTGGTACGCCTCCCCTTTTCCTTGGGTACTGCCTCCTCCCGCCTTTGTACTGCCTTCCTCCCGCCTTGGTACTGCCCCCGTGCTGCCTTGGTACTGCCTTCCTCCCGCCTTGGTCTGCCCCCCCTGCCTTGGACGCCCCTTCCTCCTGCCTCGGGATGCCCTTTCCCCGCCTTGGGACGCTCCCCTGCTGCCTTGGGACTGCCCTTCCCCCCGCGTTGGATTGCCTTCCTCCGCGTTGGTACTGCCTTCCTCCTGCCTTGGCACTGCCTTCCTCCTGCCTCGGTACTGCCTTCCTCCTGCCTTAGTACTGCCTTCCTCCTGCCTTGGTACTGCCTTCCTCCTGCCTTGGTACTGCCTTCCTCCTGCCTTGGTACTGCCTTCCTCCTGCCTTGGGGACTCTTCCTCCCCCCTTGGTACGCTTTTTCCGCCTTGGTACGCCTTCCCCTGCCCTTTGGTCTGCCTTCCTCCTGCCTTGGTATGCCTTTCCCCTGCCTTGACTGCCTTTCCTCCTGCTTGGACTGCCTTTCCCCTGCCTTGGACTGGCTTCCTCCGCCTTGGTACCCCTTCCCCGCCTGGTACTGGGTTCCCCCCTCCTTGGTAATGCCTTCCTCGCCTTGGTACTCCCCTTCCCCCTGCCTTGGACTGCCCTTTCCCCCTGCCTTGGGACTGCCTTCCTCCTGCCTTGGTACTACCCCCCCGTGCCTCTACTGCCCCCTCCCGCCTCGGGACTGCCTCCCCCTGCCCCGGTACTGCCTCCCTCCTGCCTTGGTACTGCCCCCCTCCCGCCCTTTGGGACTGCCTCCCTCCTGCCTTGGTACGCCTTCCCCCTGCCTTTGGGACTGCCTTCCTTTGCCCGGTATTGCCCTTCCCCCTCCTTGGTACTGCCTTCCTCCTCCTTGGTACTGCCTTCCCTGCCCCGGGACGCCCTTCCCCCTGCCCCTTGGGAAATGCCTCCCTCCTGCCTTGGTACTGCCTCCCCCCGCCTCGGTACTGCCTTCCTCCTGCCTCGGGATGCCTCCCTCTCCTTGGTCTGCGTTCCTCCCGCCTCGGTATTGCCTTCCTCCCCCCCCCTTGGGACTGCCTTCCCCCTGCCTGGTACTGCCTTCCTCCTGCCCTTTGTACTCCTTTTCCCCCTGCCCTTTGTACTGCCTTCCCCCTGCCTTGGTACGCCTTTCCTCCTGCCCTTGGTATGCCTTCCTCCCGCCTTTGTACTGCCCTTCCTCCTGCCTATACTGCCTTCCTCCCGCCTTGGTACTGCCTTCCCCGCCTTAGTACTGCCCTTCCCCCTCCTGGTACTGCCCCCTCCGCCCTTTGGGACTGCCTTCCTCCCGCCTTGGGACTGCCCCCTGCTGCCCTTGGGCGCCATCCTCCTGCCTCGGTACTGCCTTCCTCCCCTGCCTTGGTACTGCTCCCCCGCTGCCTTGGTACTGCCCCCTCCTGCGTTGGATGCCTTCCCCCCTGCGTTGGGAAATGCCTTCCCCCTGCCCTTTGGGACTGCCTTCCTCCGCCCCGTACTTTTCCCCTCTTGCCCTTTGTACGCCTTCCTCCTGCCTTTTTACTGCCTCCTCCTGCCTTGGTACTGCCTTCCTCCCCTTGGACTTTTCCTTCCTCCCGCCTTGGTACTGCCTTCCTCCCGCCTTGGTACTGCCTTTCTCCCACCCTTGGTACTGCCTTCCCTCCTGCCCTTTGGGACTGCCTTTTCCCCTGCCCCCTTTGTACTGCCCTTTCCCCCCCTGCCTTGGGGACTGGGCCTTTCCCCCCTGCCTTTGGACTGCCTTTTTCCCGCCCTTGGTACGCCTTTCCTCCTGCCTTGGTACCCTTCCTCCTGCCTTGGTAGCCCTTCCCCTGCCCTTTGGTACTGCCTTCCCCCTGCCTTGGCACTGCCTTCCCCTGCCCCTTGGGACTGCCCCCCTGCTGCCTCGGGCTGCCTCCCTCCGCCTCGGTCGCCTCCCCCTGCCTTGTACTGCCTCCCTCCTCTTTGGGACTGCCCTTTCCCCTGCTTGGGACTGCCTTCCTCTTTCCTCGGTATTTCCTTCCCCCGCCTT